GGTGTGGCACAGTGGACGCTGTCATTCTGGCTACTGCTTTGGGTATCAAGGGCAACAGAAGGCATCACTTTAGTGAGCTGAAAAGAAGACAGCAGCCAATAGAATATTCAGAAGAGCACATTCTTGATTTTTTTTTGAGGCTGTTTTCCCCAGAGCATGCTGGGACGTAACCAGAAAAATCCCGGTGCCTGATTGCTATTGTGATTAAATTTTCCCTTGGGCTAGTGTGTTCCGGGAAACACATTTTCCACTTAAGTAATAATGGAAAGGAAGGAATTAAGAAAACTTTGCCTAATAACAGAAATGAATATGAAAAAGTCAAGTGATATTCAGCCTGGTCAAGCATCATGGTGAGCATCCAGTAGTGAACAATAGAAAACATGATTTCAAGGTCAGAGACGTCCACTTAATTACTCAATATGTTGTTTTAGTACAAGATAAATGAAATACTGGATATTATTAGGAAATATTATAATGATGAAAAAAGTATAGTTTTCTTTTACTCAGAAAACCATAATGTGCTTTTGGATAACACACTCAAGGAAGAAAATAGAGCTAAAAATAAATAAAGGTCAGTAATAGAAGGGTAATAAAAATTGAGGAATGGAAAACTTTCATGTGGAAGTAGATTTGAAAGACTAGGATTCTGGTGTGGAAAAGGCCCAGAAGGAGATAAGATCAAAGTCTCTTGCACAATGAAGGGTGTGGATGGGAGGAATGTGGACTTGGTTATCAAATCCCTAAATTCCAGTAGGATTAGGTAATCACTGAAGCCTCAAAAAGTTTATTTCAGGATAAATAAAGGAAAGAACATTTTTTAAAATGGGTAATATATATGTGGAATTCATACTGAAAGAATGACCAGGTTGAAAATCTAAATAGAAAACTGGAAATTTAGAAAAGCATAATGATCAATTTGTAATAAACTTTAGTAAACACTTAGGCATTAATTTAACTAATTTAGAAAATTAATTTAAGACAGTTTAGAAAGTTAATTTAGAAAATATTGCAGGTGTTTTTCAAAGCTTCCCATATGAATGCATCAAGAACCATTAACATGGTGTCTGCCTGTC